ACAACAGTCAGTGCCCGCAATTCTGCTCGTTTCAGGGTCACAGCCCAGGCTCAGTGGCAGACGCCTTTGCTATCCCATGGGGCGGGAGCCTGAAGTACGCCTTTCCCCCGTTCCCACTCATTCACAAGGTCCTCCTGAAGGTCCGCAGGGACAGGGCGACAGTCATCCTAATCGCCCCGGCGTGGCCACGCCAACACTGGTTCACAACTCTGGTGGAACTCTCCGTGACCTCTCCGGTGGCCCTTCCCCTACATCACGACCTCATCACTCAGGATCGAGGTCACCTACTCCACCCGAACCTGTCAGCGCTACATCTCACGGCATGGCTACTCTCTGGCTAAGTGGGGTGGAGCACAGGTGTTCACATGAGGTTCAGCAAATCCTACTTGGTAGTAGGAAACCCTCCACGAGGGCAGCCTACCTGGCTAAGTGGAAGCGCTTCTCCTTGTGGTGTGCGCCTCACCACTTGCAGCCTTTGCAGGCCTCGATACCTCTGATCCTCGACTACTTGCTGCACCTCAAGCGTCAAGGCCTCGCCCCCGCTTCTATTAAGGTGCATCTGGCCGCCATTTCGGCGTTCCACCCTGGAGAATCGGGCAGATCCGTATTCTCCAACCCCACGGTGGTCCGTTTCCTCAAGGGTCTGGAGCGGGTGTTCCCCTACTCGCGCCCTCCTATTCCCCCGTGGAACCTCAATCTGGTTCTCACAAAACTTATGGGGCCGCCCTTTGAACCCCTGGCCTCTTGCTCCCTCACGCACCTTTCATGGAAGGTCGCGTTCCTTGTGGCCATTACCTCGGCTAGGAGAGTGTCCGAGTTGAGGGCCCTCACCTCGGAGCCCCCTTATACCATCTTTTACAAAGACAAGGTGCAGCTTAGGCCTCACCCTAAATTCCTCCCGAAGGTGGTTTCGAATTTTCACATGGGGCAGGACATTTGTTTACCAGTATTCTTCCCTAAGCCCCATACGGACCCGAGCCATCGCAGCCTGCACACCCTGGATGTTCGGCGGGCATTGGCCTTTTATCTGGACCGTACCCGACCTTTCCGTAAGTCGTCTCAGCTGTTCGTGGCCATTGCGGAGCGCATGAAGGGCCAACCGATTTCTACGCAACGCCTGTCGGCGTGGATAGTGCACTGCATACGTACATGCTACGAGCTCGCCAACACGCCTGCTCCTCAGATCAGGGCTCACTCCACTAGAGCCCAGGCGTCCTCGACGGCCTTCTTGGCACAGGTCCCGCTCCAGGAGATCTGCAAGGCAGCCACCTGGTCGTCTGTGCATACCTTCACAGCACACTACGCGATCCACCATCAGACTAGAGATGATGCAGTGGTCGGCAAGGCGGTGCTGCAATCAGTTATTCCTTGACTCCTACCCTCCTCCAAAGGTAAGCTTGCGAGTCACCTAATGTGGAATGGACGTGAACAAGCACTCGAAGAAGAAAAGACGGTTACTTACCTTCTGTAACTGTTGTTCTTCGAGATGTGTTGTTCACGTCCATTCCACTTCCCACCCTCCTTCCCCTCTGTCGGAGTCACCGGCAAGAAGGAACTGAGGGAGGGTCGGGCCTGCAGGGATATATATACGCGAGGGCGGGGCGCCGCTCTGGCGGGAAGGGGGACCCTGCGGGCCCGACGGGAGCCGCTGAGGGAAAAAGTTCCGACGATTCGTGCACGCGGCGCGCGCACACCTAATGTGGAATGGACGTGAACAACACATCTCGAAGAACAACAGTTACAGAAGGTAAGTAACCGTCTTATTTATTGAGTAAGGTAGCCTGGATCTTCCAGCTTATCCCCCATTCTAATGAATTAATTTTTGTGTCGTACCCCCCTCTCTCTTCCCCCCCCCCATGTCCATTCTGCCAGGCCTGGGTGGGCAGCTGCATGGGGTCCTCTTCACTCCCTTCACAGTGCTGGTCCCTGTGGGTACTCACTGTGGGTGTGCATGTGCTCCATGCCCCTTAAACTGGAAACTTTTCAGTAGCAGTGTCTGTTAGTCCATGCCTGCTCCCTTTGCCGCCTTGTGCTCCCAACCAAGGGTATAAGGGGCATCACGGACCAACCACCTTGCTCCAGTTCCTTCTCTAATGTGAATAGAAGAAGGTCTGAGCTACTCTTCCTCAGAAGGCAGGAAAGTGGGTGACTGGGCTGAAGTTTGTGAGGGGACTGGATCTTCTTGTATCATTTTGAGACTGGTTCCAGATCCAGCCAAAATCCTGTGACTTGAGAACAAATCGCAAGAGTCAGTGACCGCATGTACAAAGACTTGTACAATGAGATTTGCTATACCGAAAAATAAAAAAATTGGAGGCCAAATTGCTGTTTCATTTATTTAGTAATTAGACGTAATACTGAACTATTTTGTATTGCCACATATAGGTCATCTAAATTCAAAAGAAAGTTTCTTCTATTTTTAAACATGTATTGAAGTCCAGCTTTTAGAGTTTTATGTTAAATTCAAAGTAGTACACATTCCTGTACTGCTGACATTCATGCTTTACCATCTATTTGCCCGAACAGCTGTATTTCATGTATTATGTTTATGTGAGAAGGTCTTTCAAGAAGAATTCATGGTCCAGTATTTTTGAATGTATTCTGTCAGCCTAAGTTAGGGTTTTCAAGTGCCCTAAAGGAAATCTCTGTATAGATTCATTAGTTTAGAAATTTGTGTTCTAAAAAGTTTATAAAACATGACAAATTGAGTTCTGAAATAAATCTGTTACTGACCATGTTGAAATCTTAAAAAGAAAAGCTTTTTGGCAAGTTGAATGAAGTACTACATACATCTTTATTTTAAATAATTGTATAGGTTAAGTTAGCTGAGTGAGACACTAGTTCTGACCTACAGTAGTCTTTGTTATACTTAAGCTAGTAGAAACCAAGTTGTCTTCATAGTTTAAAATACTAGCTTAGGGCAGTGCATATATAAGGTTTTAAAAGATAAACTTTTTGCAAACTGAAGTGGATACATATTATGATACACTTAAAAAAAGGTAAGTGAATATTGTTCTCATTATTACCGCAAAAATATAATATATATCTATTTATATATTTATATTTGTGTGAACTACTCTTCTCCTTTGCAGCAGATTTACAAGCTAGAGGCTTTAAATCTCATTCTAAATTATTTCAGATTTCACTGCTTACTTGTAGACGTATAGTAATTTTTAACCAACACAGAGACATTATGCATTATTCTAGGTACCGGTGTTTTTATTTGGTACTTTAAAAAAAAAAAAATGTTGGCACACTGAGTGCCTGGTGGAAGAAGTTGACTTGTTTTGTTCAGTAAGGACACCTTAAGTTCTGTATTGTTGGCTCTAGTGGGGTAACTGGTTAAGAGGAATAGTGGCTCAATTTGACTTCATGTGGCTATGGAAATGGGTACTCCAAAAACAATCACCCACTATCCTGTCCTTAAGATGAGATAAGGGGGGGAAAGGCAGGAAGTGAAAATCCCTTGTCTAAGCCAACGTTAAAAACTCTTATTTGCTCTTCATGCAGTATGGGAAAATCTCAACTGGCAGCTCTTAAAGTTGTCTGTTCTGACTGGCAGAGTTGAGCAAATAATGGGAAGATATTTTCCCATCAGTTATGTTCTCCTTAATGACTTTGCATCTCTTGAGCCACACTGTAGGAGTTGTGAGCCTGCCCATGTGGGCCCTGAATCTTTTTGTGCAGTACTGGCATTTAGCCGGCATATGCATAACATCCCTCAAGACCAATATTCTATTGAATCAGGTTGTAAATACCTGGTTTACACCATGTGTCCATTCCTTTCTAACCACTAGCCAGTGTGGTCCTGGTACCTTACTCCCTCTACTTCTATGTGGGAAAGTTAGCTTTTTGTTACAAACCCTTCAATTTAGTTAATAGGATTAGTACAGGGAAAGTTGTTGAAAATTTTCTTTGTTTTTTCCCTCCTTGTTATCTGACTAAAATATACCGGTGGCCTTGTCTATTGTGGTGGAGGCAGAGAAAAAGGCAGGGATCAGTTTCCTTTCCAAAACATCAGTTGGATGTTTGCATGGCTAATGATTTTCAGTGCTTTTGGGAAGGGCACTCCTCCAGGGGATATGCTGTTTGTGAAGTCATCTCTCCCAAGATCCAGAAAGGAGATTGGGTCAATAGGGTTGTCTTTCTAATTACATGAGACCTGTTGGCTCAGGAGAAACTGATCTGAGACCGTGCTTCTTGGACCAAGTAGATCCAATTTGAAACCTTCCTTGGTATTGAAGTTGGGATCCTTTGGGCCCCATGCTGTTAGAGGAAGCCCTAAAAACAAACCGTCTATCTAAGTAGTATCCATTGCTAAAGGACGTAAGACTTTCAGATTGTGCCAGAGAAGAGCTTTGTCTTAACATGGATTCTTGAAACCTAGAACAGTCAAGAGACACTTTCTGAAGGATCCAGCAATTGACTCTGGCCTCAAGGCAGCCAGCCTCCTTGGATTCCAGGTGCAAGCAGGAGCGATTCTGAAAAAGGAGTGGCCTTCCTTCCTGCTGAGCTGATTGGATCACTCCTCAGCATCAGGACAGCTTTTGAATAAGTCATAACAGCAAGAGCACTTCTCCCTTATGGACTTTAAGGAGAGGATATATTAGTATTCTGATTCATATTTGGTTCTTAGTCCTGACTATTTTCCTTCTGAGTTCCACCATGTTAATACTGGTAGTATTCTAGCTGGAACAAGAATATGACACGGGTACAAACCTTCATATCTTCAGCATGCTGTGCCTACTTACGATTTTGTCTTTTTATGGATTTTCTTTTCTGTGAATCCATCCCCTCTAGTGTTTTTCTAACACTGTGGCACAATGTTTGGAATTTGCTATGGTTTGTAAAACATTTTGATAAGTATTTGCAGGTAAGCTTTTAGAGAGTGTAATTTTTTTTGTTAAAATGACAAGCTTTCTAATATGAGTAATAGAGACCATAGGGAAAATGTCATTAAACTTCTTCCTAGTTGACCCTATTGCACTGTTTCTCTGCAGGCTGTACCTCATCAATTCTCCTGTGGTAAGAGCAGAAAACTTGCGGTTTAAGGAGGAAGGAGTAAGAGATGTGCTGAAGGATGTCTTCCTGCCCTGGTACAACGCGTATCGCTTTCTCATTCAAAATATTGTGATCCTGCAACATAAGGTATGAAGTTTTGAGACACTGAGAAGGCAAAAGCTAGTTTGTACACCTGGTACTATTTCTCGGTGGATTATGTTATATTAATAACATGCACTCTTGCCACAAAGCTAACCCCACCCCCTTAGTCTTCTTTTATTTTCTCCGTACCTTCTCTTGCTGGGCTCCTTAAGCCTGGAGTATGGTTCTCTGACCCGGTCCACCATGCTTCCATCCTGTGCTCCAAGAGCATGATCCATAGTTCACTGAAGTCAATACAAGTCATTTGCATTGACTTCAACTCATTTTGAATCAGGCCCCAAATGCTACAAACGCTAATCTTCCCTTCTAAGCCGTAATGAGTGCATGTATGTGTATATCAAGGAAAATAGAAGGTACAGAGGAAGGATAAGGATAAAAAATGAGGTTAACTCTCAAGTTGCATACATCAGCAGCCAGAGTTAACTTACTGCTGTAGCTCTTTAGTCCTATTCTGCCCACTCCTTATGGCTTGGCTACATCCCTGTCATAAATTACATTGTAAACATCATTTTTAGTTGTCTGTAAAGCACTGTGTAGGTTTATGATGTTATAGAAATAACAGGAGGCGGAAGTTTACTGACGTCTGTAGTATGTTAGCTTTCTTGCTCTTACAAATACTATTCCTTTTCAAGATATAAACATTTCTTACAGTACAAAGGTGCTTTTATTTGGTTTTGAAATAAACTTTATGCTATAGCAAGGTTATAGTGTTGGAACTGAAATAGAAAAATTGAGCTGTGGAGTGAACCTTCTGTAGTACATGTTCGTTTTAAGCCTGGCTTCAAATCAGATCAATGCTGCTAGCATCACATTTCGATGAGGAGTAAGTTCACCAACCAAACACTAATGAGAACACCAGAGTTAACACCTGTGAAAAAAGTTCTATGAGGTCTGTTGGTCCTTTCAGAGCAGATTTCTGTTTTTCCTTCAACTAACTTTTCTTCCGTTTCTTTCCTTGGAAGGAACTGGCTCACACTACACCAAAAAAAAAACTTTGTTTTAAAATAAAATTGGCTTATCCCAGCATTCTGTTAGATTTGTAGTTTAGTTTTGAACATTCTTGTTCAAAATGCTTGGTTTTTAAATCTTTTTGGAGTGTTGTATTTTCATGTGAGAAATGGGAGCAGCTCTGTGGTGTGAACTGGAACTTCATCTCAAAGCGAAAGTTAGTTCCCACTGATTTAGTTGCTCTTTATTTCTGTAAATCTAACACATCTGTACACCAGATTATCCTAGTGCTTCTATTGGACTCTGGGATCAGGAGTTGGTTTGATGTCAGGGACTTATTTTGAAGAAATTGAACAATGTTGGAAATTGCACCATACCCTGTCTTGCACCCTTGTTCTCGTACCGAGCCTGTAAATCTGTCACTAATTGCATAATCTGGACATGTTTTCTAGTTTAAAGGCAGCAACTGCCACAAATCCATCCTCGCCTTCTTGAGCGCCAGGGCATGTTTTGCTTCATAGCTCACAACTAGGTAATAGGAAAGGAGGGTTTGAAGCTTTGACTCTCTCATCTTGCTGACCTTTACTTAAGTTTGGAGTGATAATTTCTCAGAGCTTCAAAAGCACTCTTGATAGCATACATACCAAAAAAATCAATGAAGTCACCAATAAATAATAAAAAAAATTACGGAGAGTAGTCTAATCCTGAGAGGATTAGACTACTGTAAGAACTCTCATACTGGGTCAGACCAAAGGTCCATCTAGCCCAGTATACTGTAAATCAGTAATACTGAATAAAGAAATTCATCATTCCTAAAAAAAGTCACACATGCCGCCTAAGATAACTGCATTCACTGTAGATTTGCATAAAAATGTTGGTAGTCAAGAATACTTGATACTAGACATTCATGTACCTAAAAGGAGGAGGGAGAAAAATTGTTTTTCTTAATCTCCGAGGATAGGACAAGAAGCAATGGGTTTAAATTGCAGCAAGGGCAGTTTAGGTTGTACATTAGGAAAAAATTCCTAACTCTCAGGGTGGTTAAGCACTGGAATAAATTGCCTAGGGAGGTTGTGGAATCTCTGTCAATGGAGATATTTTTAAGAGCAGATTAGACAAAGACCTGTCAAGGATGGTCTTGATAATACTTTGTCCTGCCATAAGTATGGGGGACTGGACTAAATGACCTCTCAAGATCCCTTTCAGTCCTATGATTCTATGAATCACTTAGCAATAGGAAGAGGACAGCACCATATATAACCTATATTGCATTTTTGTAAAATAGTTACTATCTGCAATAGGTCTTTGAATGTAACCAGTAAATGTCAAGAGCTAATGAAAGACACTGGAGTAAGTGATATGTGTGTTGAACACTTCCTGTTATAATCCACAAAAAAGATCAAAATGTCTTTCCTCAGCAACACTATTATTTTGCCAGATGTTGAAATTTTTACATATGTGGAGTGTGGGATCCTTTGAAAGCAATTTCTTCCTTTCAACAAAGTCATCATATAACAAGTTACCACTTATTAGTGCAGACATTTCCAATAGGCTGGAAACTAAGCAAAAACTAAGCAAAAAGTTCAGACCTTGTAGTACTCTTGAAATTATGGTAGCCACTATTAATAATCACTTTGGAAGGCTGCCATTTGAAGTGATAATGGCAGCAGACTTCAATAAATAGTTGTGCAAATGGTTTTGTCTTTTTAGTAGTAATCTTTTCAAGGAAAGTTTGGTAACTACCTTATAATTAACGAGGCTTTTCTGAGGATCCTCACAGCCTTCATAAGAAATTTCTCATGTTCCCTAAAAACATTCAATTTTTTTTTCACCTGTGACCATGGAATTAGCTGAAATGAGCTTTGCAGCCAACCATTTTGTGCTGTCATCCCATTAGATTTTGCAAGATCAGCAGAGCTGGGGTTAGGAGACGTATGTGGAAAACCTGGATCCTTCAGCAAATAATTTTTTGATTCAGCAAATGTAATTTTTCTTTATGAATCAGTAATGAAACAATGCCTCAGCATAGAATTAGAAGATAATATGCTGCTGAAGGTGTTATTTTTTGGGTAAGACCTAATATAGAGGCTCTGGCCACTCGTTAGTTTCATTATACTTCCTGTAAGAGAGAAATAGCTAATCCCAGTGTCCTGGCTGAAATCTGGTAATTACATTCTGCCCCTTAAAATTGCCATTGCAGTTACAGTTGGGTAAATTATTGTTCACTTTCCCCACCCTGAGTTGTTGTGTAATCTTGTTGTGCACCATTAAGCAGCTTGCACTTTGCACCACAGAGGTGGTTGCATGAATCGTGGACAAAGAGATCCATATGTAGTTTCACTTGTCTGGGCAATCAGTGGAATCCCAGTTCAAAGATGAGCTCCTCAACTGAGGGTATGCCTACATTACAATTAGACACCCGCGGCTGGCCCGCACCATTGACTCAGGCTTGTGGGGCTCGGGTGAAGGGGCTATTTAATTGCAGTGTAGATGTTTGGACTCAGGATGGAGCACAGGCTCTGGGGTCCCAAGCCTGAACTTTTACACTGCAATTAATCAGCCCCTTAGCCCGAGTCAGCTGGGACAGGCCAACCGTGGGTTTTTAATTGCAATGTAGAGAGGCCTATGGCCAGATGTGGTGTACTGACTTAAATTCTAATGGCTTTTGCTTTCCAGCCTTTAACAGCCTTGATATGGTATAGGTTGGGACTGTGGCCACACAATATTGCTTTAAGTTTGCGAGAGAGAAAAGGTGGGTGAGGTAATGTATTCAGCTGTAACATTCTGAATACAAGGTGGAACAGATTATTTAGTGTAAGTAGTTAACACATATTTCAAGGGACAGTGGCCCATTAATATCCCAGCAGTCATAGGGGGAAAAGGGAGGGGGGAAAAAGCCAGGAGCAGGGGATTAAGTGGGTTACAGATAGTTGTAATAAGCCATACATCCAGTGACTCTGTTCAGTCCATGATTTTTAGTGTCTAGCAAAGTGATAAAATTAAGGTCGCAGGCTTGTCTTGTGAAGGTGTAGTACAGGATTTCTTTGAGGATGAGGACTGAGAGGTCAGACCTAGAGTGACAGTTGATATGGTGTGTTTGTCTTATTTTTCTGTGAGAGTTCATTCGAGAGCATAGTGATTGTCTGGTTTCACCCACATTGTTATTATTGGGGCATTTTGTGTACCTCGTCCAGTGCACCACATGCAGTGATAAGTATGTGTAGGATCTCTGGATCTTGAAAGGTGTGTTGTGGGGGGTGTTGATCATCAGCAGTGGAGAGATGTCTGCAGGTTTTGCATCTGTTCTTCTGGCAGGGTCTGGTGTTGCTTTGAGTTGGTGTGCCCTGGTCTGTGGGGAGCTTGCTGGGGGCGGGGGGGGGGGGGAGGGATAGCTCAGTGGTTTGAGCATTGGCCTGCTAAACCCAGAGTTGAGTTTAATCCTTGAGGGAGCCACTTAGGGATCTGGGGCAAAAATCTGTCTGGGGATTGGTCCTACTTTGAGCAGGGGGTTGGACTAGATGACCTCCTAAGGTCCCTTCCAACCCTGATATTCTATGATTCTATGCTTCTGATGATGAGGTTGTTTAAAGGCCAGAAGAGAGCGTTCAGGAAAGATTTCTTTCAGGGTGTGCTCCCTATCAAGTATGGGTTGTAATTGTTTGATACCCAGTATGGGTTTCCAGTGTGGGGTGGTAGGTAACAGCTAGTGGTGATGGAGTTTTATTTTTGTATTGAAGCAGGTTCTTTTGGACTATTTGTGTGGCCCGTTCCTTGATGCAATCTGCTTCTCTGGTGGAGTGTCCTTGTTTGGTGATGGTGCTTTTAAGCATGTTAAGGTGTACATCATGGACTTTCTCCTCAGAGCATATTCTATGGTATCTGAGTACCTGGCTGTAGCTAAGATTTCTTGGTGTGTTTGGGGTGATAACTGGATCTGTGAAGGTAGGTATGTTAATCTGTGCGTTTCATGTAGATAATTGTTTTAAGTTTGCAAAGCAGTTTGGGATCTTTTTGGATGGAAGATGCTGTACGTGAGATACTATTTCTTTACTATACCATTACAAGAAACCTTGTGACAAAGGCAAGCCTCCTATATAGAAGAAATGTATTTCAGTGGCATTTGGAAAGAACAGTTCTTATTATTAGGAAGCCTACTGTAATTACTTTCAACAAATAACAGAAGACTTCCTATTTCATATTTTCTAAACAAGATGCACTTGCTTAAAGGTCACATAAAAACATGTGTCTTACCATGTCTCTTGCTAATTCTATGGTTGGATAAGTGTGCCTGCAAATTAGTGCAACACATTCTTGTCCATTTTTTCCTTGTCTTCAGACCTAACCCCTCTCAAACTGTGATTTTTTTTATTTTTTTTTTAAATTAGATTTTTCAAGAATGAAAATCCTCACTACAGGGATAGCAGGCCTTTAGAGAAAACCTGCAGGGAGTGGTATAAGGGATTCAGTAGGGATCTCCACTGATCATTGTTTAAAAGCTGCGCAGTTAGAAGTCAATGTGATATTCTCCCTCCCTCCCTGAAAGAGCAAAGTGAATGGATAGATTACCAATTTAGCACATATACTTCTAGCCTTTTCCCACCTTCTCTTTTGCAGTGTATAATACATTAGAGTCCAGTGTTCAGGGGCAGTGGACAGTGCTGCCTCTCATGAAATGCTAAATATGTACAGTAATGACATGATGCCTGCCTAAAATTCCTCCGGCAGTTCCAGTTGGGTTTGCTATCCTTTCCACCTACCCTTAACAATTCTTTTGGGGTGCCATGTGCTGTTGAACAATTGCTGCATTTCAAAATGAAAGTTATTTATATACATCTCTACCCCAATATAACGCGACCCGATATAACATGAATTCGGATATAACGCGGTAAAGCAGCGCTCGGGGGGACTGCGTGCTTCGGCGGATCAAAGCAAGTTCGATATAACGTGGTTTCACCTATAACGTGGTAAGATTTTTTTGGCTCCCGAGGACAGCGTTATATCGGGGTAGAGGTGTACATGTTCTATATCTATCTATATAATTTTCACTTATATATATTTTAACTAACACAAACACACACACACATCCCTCATAGTCAGTAAAGTTTGTTAAATGCTTTGGATTCCAGCTGGATGAAGGGGATGTAAAAATCAGTATCATTAGCCTGTGTTTGTAAATTGTGATTAGGCTACATGTAAAAGGTGTAAAACGTGGGATTATTGAATTCCCTTGTGTACTGTACTACTATTTCTGTATTCTAATAAATACAAAAAACTGGTCCCTTTTGTAGTTTACATTGTTGTGTAATGAAACAGGGATCAGTGCAAGTCAGTTTATTTTGGCTTTTTCTGTTAATGTGTCCCAAGAACAAATGTGTATCTGACACTGAGTACTCTTACTAACCAATGTAATGGAGAAGAGCCTGGACAGGACGCTTTTGTCAATGGATAACAAATGGGCTTTTAAGAGGAAGGATGGTCCAGTTGTTAGGGCACTAGTTTAGGACATGGGAGACTTGGATTCAGTTCCCTACTTCACCACAGACTGTGATCTTGGGCAAGACACCAAGGCCTGGTCTACAGTTGGGGGCGGGATCGATCTAAGCTACGCAACTTCAGCTACGTGAATAACGTAGCTGAAGTTGACGGACTTAGATCGACTTACCGTGGTGTATTCACCGTGGTGAGTCGACTGCTCCCGCTCTCCTGTCGACTCTGCCTGCGCCTCTCGCGGCGGTGGAGTACAGGAGTCGACGGAAGAGCGCTCGGGGGTCAATTTATCGTGTCTAGACTAGATGCAATAAATCGACCCCCGCTGGATTGATCGCTGCCCGCCGATCTGGTGGGTAGTGTAGACATACCCTTATTCTCTGTCTCAGTTCCCCATCTGTAAAATGAGGTTAAAATGGCACTGACCTAACTCACAGAGGTGTTGTGAGATAAACACATTAAAAGATTGTGAAGCGCTTTGAGATCTACTGATGATAGATATTATTTTATAGGATTTAATGTGTTCAAGCATTGACATGCTATACTACTATTCATTTTTCCAATGATGTTTATAGGAAGATGGAAAGGAATTCCTGTACAATGAGAACACGATGAAGGAGAGCAACAACATCATGGATAAATGGATTCTTTCCTTCACACAGTCACTCATTCAGTTCTTCAAGGCCGAAATGGCAGGTATGTGCATCTTTTGCTTTTTGTTTCAGTTCAGAAAAAGATTTCATTTGAGTAATTTTCACTGACTGGTGACTAGGGAGGGGCTTGCACAAAGGATGCATTTATCCAGGGATTTTCAGATTTCAGATCAGACTGCATGAAAGAAAGGGGCAAAAAAATCTTAAAACAATAACACGGAAATGTACAGCTACAGAATATTAATTTAATTGATGTACATACCATTCTTGCTGTTATAAGAACTTAATTCTGGTGATACCGTGGCCTTCAGCCTGGAGTAACTTCTCCCACAATGAAGTCTGTAAGATGACCACGGTTTTTGAAATACTCACATTCATTTCACAGTGCTGTTGAACTCGCCCGTCTGGGCTCAGTAATAAAGGTTTATTGAGTTTACCTGGTGCGATAGAACCTTTCAGAGATTTAGGGCAATTAACAAACCTATTATGAAATAGTAATGAATCTGGAAGTAGTGATTGAACGACAGTCTTAAACAAAAATGAGTTCCTCCTCCTCCCCCCAAAAATTGAGAGTTGTGAGGAAGATCAAAATGGTAAAAGATAATTTCAGCCAGATAAAATAATCTTGAGAAATAACCATATTGGGTAAATTTCATCCCACACTGGGCAAATCGCTTGACATTGTTTCTTAGGTCAGTAACCCTCTTGGATATGTTGAAGAGAATGGATTTCTCTAGTTGCTTCTTAAATCACAGCACCATGAACACATTAAAAATATACTATTTAACATTTTTATGGCTTATTTATATAAAATATCTGTTTCATGCTGTCACATCTCTCCATATGCTCATGTTGTATTGGTGTGCCATTAAAATGTAGGAGGAAGGTGCAGGAACCCACTGAAGCAAGTAGTCTGGTGCAATGAACTATATGCCCGTGAGTCAAAGCATATTTTAAAGGGCACTGGACACTTAGGCTATGTAGTTGGGACTACAGAGTTGTGAATAGCAGTGCGCACCAAAGTGCTGCGCTGTGGGCTCAGACTAAAAGGTTCCTAATTCCTATTAAATATAGTCTTGTTTGAAGAGGATTCCATTAATGTGAACTAGGAATATTTCAGTTTGTGCTCACAGCGTTCACACGCAGAAGTTACAGCATAGCGCTTTGTTGAATACTACTATTGGCAGCCCTTTAGTCCAAACTGTGGGTCAGTGTAGACAAGCCCTCAGAGATATCTGCAAAGGAGGTTGGCTTTCACCATCATAGCACTTGTTAAATCCCAAGAACTTTAGCATAGCTTGGAAGCCTATGAATTCTTCAGTTGTCCAAGAAAGTATTGTAGAAATCCTGCACTGAATTATTGAGGCTGCACTTATCGGTGCTGTTCACTGAATTAATTCAGCTTACGGTAGCAGTAAAGATGTTTAGGGTATGGCACAAATTGCACTTGAGGGAATCTGGTACACAACTATTCCATTTATTAGAAATCTGTTGTAAAGCTCTGCAGAGGCTTTCCTCTGCTTCTATAGCTTCATAGACTCCCTCTGGTGGAACCTTGACTGCCACTAGGACAGCTGTAATGAATTTGTTCCCTTTGCCATGGTAAAGCAATTCTTTCATCATTGCCATGATGAAATAGACTTATTGGTTGAATACCAAGTTCTGAAATTGTGACCAGAATGGGAACAAGCCTCATGTTTCAGAGCTCTGAGTACGTATCAGGTTAAAAAAGAGGAAAGACCCCCTAGGGCCATTCTTTCCTTGATATGTAGAGGAAAGAATGCAGATATCTGGGAGAAGAGTGGAAAAGTAAGTTTTTTCTTTGTATGATATCGTATTTGTGCACACATTGAATAGGAATTGGTTAGAGTTCTAAAGAGAAGAGTGTTGATAGAAAAAAGAAAAATGCGGGGAAGAGATCTCTTCTTATGCATCAGATCTCTCCACCTTGGGTTCTTAATGGGGAAAAAAAATCTAACAAAGAATGAGAGAGGTCTTATTGACTGGCTTTATAAAAAAGAAAAGTGTGTATTTTGCTAAGAAGAAGAAAAACTTTCACTTAAAAGAAAAACATAAGAAAAAGGAAGTCAAGAAGCTGCTCTGCTGTAGCAATGTATTGATGTTAGATGCTAATGTTTATTTTTAGGCTAGATGAAAGTATGTTACATTCCCCTAATGAGTATCACATCTCACGTTGAGGTGAATGATGATGAATGTAATATTTTTACTTATACTTCTGCATAAAACATCTGAATCAATTTAATTTGCAAATACATTACTGGATTTCACCAGTTTTACCTTGTCATAATCTGCTGTACTTTTCAAAAAATTAATATCAGCTTGTTTTTTGGATGAATTTTCACATTTATACTTTTATATAATAATTAGATCAAAGAGGTGAGACTTCGAAAATAATGAACAAATAGACATAGTAGCATTTATAGTTGAAGAGTGACTGGAACTAAACTTGATGTATGTCACGATGGTCACTCTTGGCAATAAATGCCACGTGACTTCATAGTTACTGTGCTAAAGATCTAACTAACTACCTGGATAAGAATAACCGAACACAGAGAAACCAAAATCAAACCAATTACAATGGAATCCTTGTACTTAAAAAAACGGTGTTGAACAACATAAGAGGCTATTTTATGTGTGTGCGTGAAACATTTTAAAAGGGCACGAAATACTGCACTGAATGAAAAGGTAATTCACTGCACTTCAGCTTTATTTCTCTTTTGGCAATTTCTATATTCAGAGTGTAGCTAAATTTCATATCAGTTGGCCACCTACAGTACAGTATCTACTTGTAGTCCTAAAGCACCATTTAACCCCTTGATAACAGCTGAATCTGTCCACATTTTTAACCAGCAGTTTAGGTAGCCAGCTTCTAGGCGAAATATGATTCAATGACAGTTGTCCCTATTTTGTATCATACTTAAATTGGGTGGCATTGGAGGAAAGGGAAGAGAATAAGAACACTCCAACTTCTGGGTGATTGGGGAGCCTAGAAAGAGTTATGAAAAGTTTATAGGGTAAGAAGAAAGTTGACTGAAAGTCCCTTGACATGGGAGCACTCCTACGGACCTGTTTAGAAGTGGTGCAAACAAGTTCATTAAAATGTGGTGGTGTTTTTTTCAGTGACTTAGAGCAAACTCAGTCACTGGAAATATTTGAAATAGCTTCAACTTTTTTTTTTTTTTTTTAAAGGGAGAAAATCATGCAAGTGCTCTGATCTTAAAAAGTAGATCAGTCTGGTTCCATCTTATTTGTGTGAACTAAAATGTCACATTTTTAGAAAAAATGGGAATAACTTGTATAACTGCTAGTGCTTTAAAAACAAACTGTTGCCACTGTTAGAGCGGGAGCCATTTTTACCACCTGCAGTAGTTGAACTTATTGTAGTATTTCCCAGTCTATACCTTGGTAAAAGAAATATTGTGGTAAATGTTTTATTGACACCCAATGAATACTTCCACTCCTAGCTGCTCACCAGGGTGCTGTGCTGAACCAAAACTTGGTTCCCACATGCTCTTGACTTCCTGGAGCTACACAGAGTATAGGCACTGTCTCTCTGGCTCTGGGTCTCTAGGCACACACTCCATATCCAGACCCCATGTCTGCACACACTCCCGATGGCAGTGGGGACCCTCCAATCCAAATGCCTAGGCCCTGAAACTAATCTCTCCCAAGTTTGTTGAGAAGCTGCTCCATTCGCCTAGAGTTCCACCAAAGCCAGGATCTGTAACACAGGTAACCAAACAGTATATATTGTTGTAGCTATAATACAGCCATCAACGCTACATAATATTGTTTGTTTTTAATGAACTTACGAATTTTAAACCGGGTAGTACCAAACAACTGGCCACATTGCTTAACAAATGCCAAATTAAAATTAACTAAGTTAAACAAAATTTTAATCAATAAAAAAATTATTTATAATGAAATTGTTGGTTAAACTTTTTTTAAACTTATTGTTAATTTTAATTTAATGTTTGGTTAAACATACCATATTTATGACTGAAACTTGCAAAAAAAATTAGTATATTATAATACACGAATGATAGTTATATCCTAATTATTACAATGAAATAATGTGGTGGTATAAAAAGGTTTAATGTTGTTGTTCTTCCATACTTTTGCATGCAAAAAATGTTTTTGTTGCAACAACAACAAAATAAAACCCCAAAATTAAAAAAAAAAAAGGTTAAGTGAAATAAAACATATAACCAAGAGACACATAATCTCAACATTGTTATGTATAAGCATATAATATAAAATACCTTACAAAGGTTTAAATAGATAAACTACTATACAATGAATTAGACATTGCTGTTTAGGGCAGGTCCAGGAAACCTAAGGGTTAAAACTATTAATTAATCAGTACTTAGTTGACGCCAGCATCGACCAATAAGGCAGATGGTCACTGAAAACTTACCCATTTGTAAACAGAATAAATAATACCTAGAAAAACTACTTGAGTTAACCTTCTTTTAGCTAAATTACAACTTAACTTGCCTATAAAAATAGTTTAATTAGGCTATGATTGTTCAGGGGAGACACTTTTGGCTGTTAAAAAAAAAACAAAAACAATAATGGTTTAAGAAAAAATAACAACAACACATGCTTTAATTACCTAGATAAAATAAAAGGAAATTATAAAAATTTTATAAGGAGTGAGTTTAGACACTTTTACTAAAATGGTGAATTAAGACCTGTAATAATAATCATCACTGCTATGTTGTGTGTAATAGAGGCTGCTACATTTATTTATTTATTATTTTGGTTTTTAAAATCCAAAATGTGAATTTGCTGGTATTCAGGTATAGCCTGGCAAGCCACAACAGCAACGTAAATGTCGTGGACAAGCATTAATGCTTGCGTCTGATGTCTTAAAAAAGCTACAAAGCAAATAATAAAAAGAATTTACCCATCAAAGAGCACAATTTCAAATGCTACTTCCATAGCTCAGCTCCTAATACCTAATCACTATATTGTAGAAAGGAATATTCCATTGGGTTCTCTCTGTTTCTCCTACAAAAC